CAAGGATCGTTTATGTTCAAAACTGCTATTAATAAAGATTGCAAGTTGTAGCCTACTCTCTTTTACTTAAACGCTTTGCTTGTCTGTCTGTTTGTTTATTTGTTTTTTTGTGGAAAACTTTATGTGGCCCAGGTTCACCCAGACTAACTCCCCTGCCTCACCCCCCCCTCCCCACCCCCCTTCCGCCCAGAGTGATTTTGGTAAACTACACGACAGATCAAGGGGCGGATCTCGACACCTTAAACAATTTAAACCTAAGACCAGGAAAATCACAGGTCACTCAAGTCATGCCTCGCCTTTATTATTATATTTCCGAGTTGACGAGGTCAAATATCGGAGATACAGATCTTTGTTTCGGAGATGAGGGGCGATAACCGGTGGGCGGGGCACGGCGTGGCTTGGGCCAAGGGAAATCACTGCTCATATTGTCATGGTTCTTTCTATTGTGTATGAAAGTTAAAACCCCCTTAGCGAGAGGAAAGAAGGAAAAACCGAAAAGTTGATCGAAAAATAATTATTCGAAAGTGCCTTTTTGGTTGAGATGATGTTAGAGTTTCCTCCAAGCTCTTGGCCTACTCTTGTTAAGGTTGTGTTGGGTTTTCTCTTTCTTTTTTCTTTAATTCTTTCTTTCTTTCTTTCTCTCCCCCTCTCTCTTTCTTTCTTTTAAACAGTTTTGTTTTCAAGAAGACCCTATATGTTTTACATTTTTATTCACATCTATTAGGGCTAAACCATCTTCTTTGTGGCTTCAATAAACACTTTGATTGAAACCTTAAGCATCCTGTCTGACTCGGTCCCTGGTTCCATCTCTCGATCCATTGCATTACCCTGAGCGGCTTGTCAAGTGCAATGCTTGATTTGGACTTAATGCAGCTGGCTATATTCTTATAATATGTGGCATCGGATCTAAGCCTAAGAGTAAATCACTTTCCAGTGTTTTACATTCCATCGATTACGTTATAATTTAAAGGAGCATTGTCTCATTTTGTTAAGGAAACGTGGGGAGACCTAGGCTTTCCACATGTTATAATGAAAAGGGTTGGCTAAAACCCAATTAAATTGTAAAAGTATTTTTTTTAAAGAAAGTATACGAGTTTTATTGTTGTTGTTATGTTGTTGTTGGTGGTGAGTTAAGAGTTTGTTTGTTGTTGTCTTTTTTCTATTTTGTTGTTGCTGTTTTTTCTTTTTAGTC